TACTGACTGTTAAATTAAATATAATCAAGACTACAAAATAAAATGTTTGCATGTGTGTGATTGGTCCCTGAATTTTTTGGTTCATGAAAAAGTACAACACTGCCAGTCTAGATTCTTGAACAAACAACACCTATGAGCACTTTTTTACTGAATCAAACATATTAAGTGCAACCACTGAGTGTGGCCTGGTTCAGGAACAAATGATTCTCACGAGCCAATTTTTTCCCCCATAGTGAATCAAGAACAGCACGACCAGAGTAGTCTGATTAACAAACAAATTACTTTCATGAACTGGTTCTTTTCAGTGAGTCATTTGCAATAAAACTACTTGCGTCGACAAAATACAATAGTAGGCCTGTCAAAGCAGTTGAAATGTTTAATACTTCCTGACTGTTGAATTAAATATAATCAAGACTACAAAATAAACTGTTTGCATGTGTGTGATTGGTCCCTGAATTTTTTGGTTAATGAAAAAGTACAACACTGCCAGTCTAGATTCTTGAACAAACAACACCTATGAGCACTTTTTTACTGAATCAAACATATTAAGTGCAACCACTGAGTGTGGCCTGGTTCAGGAACAAATGATTCTCACGAGCCAATTTTTTCCCCCATAGTGAATCAAGAACAGCACGACCAGAGTAGTCTTATTAACAAACAAATTACTTTCATGAACTGGTTCTTTTCAGTGAGTCATTTGCAATAAAACTACTTGCGTCGACAGAATACAATAGTAGGCCTATAGTATGATTACGACATATTATACGTCATATTTACAGCTGCATCGTCAATTCAATATTTTAACACACCCGATGCGCATTTTTGGTTTATTCAGCAGTTTGTAGAAGAGGACATGAACACACCATAATACTTCACTGAACACAATCCATCAGAGTGATTTCTCAATCAACAATCGACTCTTTTTACTGAACAGGGGAACTTGCTGTTCAGTCGTGCCTGAAATGTTCATACATGATGTGTTCGGAGGAAAAACTGTACAATTTTACCTTTAGCATACACGTTCATGAGGTTATGGTCAACTTACTCAGATATGTATGCCTAATCACGCGACATTTACACCATGTTCTCAGTATAAATGAGAATTGACTGCATTATAAGACCAAACTAATAGTCATAGCATTGAAATCTCAAAGTGATCTACAAGAAAACATCTACGATACACAAAGAATGAGGACATCTAATATTCATATACCTTCCAGGCACTTAAAGATATTACTTTATTATATGATAAAAAGCAGATGTACAAATCAGGGCATCCGTTTCACACCATTTCTACTTTTACAGCTCATTAATTATTGTTTACTAACAGTAAATCATCATGTCAAACCTGCTTGCGTACACAGAAAGGGCATATCCCTATCCCGTGCTTTACCTGTCCTCTTTCAGGACAAGAGACAACCAAAAACATGACAAACAACTGAAATATTGTGGTAACGGCTAAAGGAAGGAACAAAATAAAAATTATTAAAAACATAGTATAAAAATTGGAAACATAGCAAGAGGAGAGATTATGGCATGAACAAAAGCATATATGACAAGAAAGCTACATCAATGCAGTGATCACTATAAAAAGGCCTCGGGAATGAAAGCTTTTCTTGAAGTTGGGGCTCCTGTAGTGTTTGACTGGCTATTTGTATGAAATGCATGAAAGTTATGAGGCAACTTAAACCCAGACGTTTGATTTATGTTGTATTTGTGAGCTCAATGCTTCCTTGACCTGGTTTGTGGTGCATTATAGTATAAAACCCAAGCCATTCATTGTCAGAATGAACTGTTGATCTTGTATTGGAGAGATGAACTAGATTTGATAAGCCGAACAAAAGGCTGTGAGTAATATAACAATCGCTATCAAGTTAGAGTCACTTCATACACAGGCCGATGTGAATCGCCAAGCAAAAAAACTAAAATATTAGCACGCATTAGAACATTTTATTCTTTGAGCATTCAGAAAGAGTGGATTTCTGGAAAGAAGACTTGCAAGGAAGCAAGGTCATGTATCTTCAAAGCACCGGAGAAAAACTTATGCTTGCGTTTCAGTCTTTTGAAATGTGAATTGGTTTATTTTCTTTCAACTCAGGACTCATTTCAGGTAGCAGAAACGAATGGAACATTTCCTGCTGAATATGCAAATGCAACCGAAACTGGACCTTTCCATGTAACCATGACAAGGATCATCAAACCTGTGTGTTCGGAAGAAGTGGCTCCTTATTCAAAGACACATGGAGTTTGAAATTACTGTAGAACTATATCTGGATCTGGATTAAGATTAGTCACGGCCTATTTAAGTACAGACCCTTTACAAACCACCTCCCTTCAATGCGCTCATTTTTGTTCTTACATTAACTTTATGATCTAAGTGCATGAACTACAAGAAGCCTCACAGTGAATTGCAATCATTGCAATCAACTATTGGCCATTTGAAGTAGACAGGGCAACACCTTTGTGAAGGTCAGAGACAGATTTGTGACAATGAGAAAAAGCTGTCCCTTTCCAAGTATCGTCATCATCAGCATCTTCTCCTTCATAATTTGCATTTCCATCATCACCATCACCAAAATTAGTCCGAATCAACCAAGCTTGGGGCCAGCGGCCGGAGTCCAATGCCATGAGCACAAAGTTGAGTCCCTTTCTCTCTACTCTGGAGGTTCATTTGGTGAAAGCGGCCACCACCGCCCACAGCAGCTCGTTGGCGCCTGACTTGGCAGCTTCAGCCTCGGGCTCGAGATCCAGAAGCATCCGCACCCTCTTCATGGCTAGATCGTACTGGTCGTCCAGCAGAGGAGAGAAGGCGTTCTCTAGAACATCAGAGGAATGTGCCAGGAACAGCAGTGCCAGCAGACGCTTATCCATCCGTTGGGGATCGTTGACCCATTTCTCCAGGACGGACTCTTGGACCTTGCGCACTAGCCGCTGCTTGATGGTGTTGTTGGTGAGCGGGTGGGTGGTCATGTCAAAAAGCAGGAAGTTTTGCTTCTCTGTGGTGAGGACACCCTTCTCCACCAAGTTCTTAGCCAAGCGCTCTCGCACATTTCGCAACTGGTAGTGCAGCTTCAACGGATTCCAGGTTTCACCTACAGAACGTAAAAAAGGCTTTTGAACAACTGGAATGACCCATTTGTAGCACCTTTTGATGTTTGCAGCAATCTTATATCTTATACAAGTCAATATCTTATGTCTTATATCTTATACAAGTCAATATTGTCTTATATGACAATCTTATTTGCCATTTAAAGCTTTAAGTCAACACAATATCAAAATAACTTTGAAGCAACCTTTCATTTTGGGTGATGCAACAAATTCCTCTTACTTTTCAAGCACTTCCGCCATTGGGATCAATAGAGTGCAACAGTCGGGTTTCGGAAATAAAAACTCCATTCATTTTCTCCATATGGAAATTGATTTTTAACAATAACTTTAAACTTTTAAAGACAGACCTACTGTGAGCTACGAGGTTGTTAATCTACGCTTTTGTTGATGCCATCAGCCCACGTTATTTCAATTTATTTTTAAAATAATCGTGTTTAACAGCAGAATTTGTGGTGAAAAATTATTACCCATGATTCTGTACAGAAAACCCCACCAATCAGAGCTGCAATGAGCAAACTGCACCAAAAGAGCTTGCAAGAGATGTCCATGAAGCACTGTGAATGATAGGGGTGTGACAAGACACTTATCCCACGAGACTGGGTTCACGAGAACGAGACAAGATTTTTAGACTTTTTAAAAGAAATCCTCAATGATGAAATATATAGGGAAAATAGTCTTTTATTCAACTGAAAAACACAAAATGCAAAAAATGTAGGTGCATTTTGAAATCAACTTGTACTTTATGAAACTAAACATCTATTTTAATGAATTATATGCAGCAATAAACAACATGTAAACTAGAGCTGCACCATTCCGGATAAATTGAGAATCGTGTTTTTTTTATATAAATTGAAGATCACGATTCTCTCACGATTCTGAAGAAAAAAAGATTAGAAAACTAAACAAAATAATGTAATTTACTAGTGGTTCTGACAAAATGTTCATTGCTTAAGTCTTTTTTAAAAAATATATTAATTTGAACAAAAAAAAAAAAATTTCAATGACTTGTCAGTGTCTCAATTCATAAAGACCTGTTTCACAATTGGAATCTCCTGAATGAATGATTCAATGACAAATACTTTTTTTAAACGGGCAGTTGTCGCCACATCCTGGCGGAAGAGGATAAGCGTTACAATACATACAAGTGTTAAGATGCTTTCGTTTTGATCGCTACTGTAGAGAATAAGTGTTTATACCCAAACTTTAAACTTCTATTTAAATGTCTGTAACAGAAATAATGATGTGTGGTTGAAAAGACTGTTTGTGTTGCTCTTTCTGGATCAGCAGCAGCATGAATGATTCATTAACATGACAGCGACAAAACGTGCTTCTCATGCTCCACTGACACTCGCGATGTGAAACAGTCGTAAAAGACATAGCTGAATCGTTGTCATTCAGGAATAAGATTGCGTCGGTGTTTGAATCAAGTTCGCTATCTTTAAACGATTGTATGAGCCTGGGAGTTATTGTTTCACATTATTTGTTTATGCATTTATATGTATTATATATTGTATAATGTTTATTGTTTTCCCCTAATAAGATAATGAGGTGGGCTGTACCCATGACATCTGTGTTTTAGTCAGGCAGTGATGAGGTAGCGGTGTGGCCTATGGGGAAAGGAACACAGTTTTGAGAACGTGTTTGGGAGCAGTGTTAATCTCCGTTTTCATTTTTGATGTCGTATGATTGTTATTCCAATAAATAATTAAGTGAACGGAACACGCGTCGACTGTAATTCCCCAAACAAGGAAGGTCATTACAACAATTAATCGTGCAGCTCTAATGTAAACACTGCAAATTGTTTTGCGAGGATATCCTCACGTTCTCACGAGACCAGTCGGATCTCCCGACACACATCGGATCTCGCGAGATCTCGTGCCATCCCAAGTGAATGATGCATATATTCTTATTTCTATTGATATAGTGAACAACTTTAAATGAATGGTTTCATATTTCTCCATTGTTTTTATATTTATGTAATTCGCAGTTCTTCATGGGATTTGTAGTTCTTTCCTCACTAAAGCTGTTAAGGACACAGTCTTTTACCTTTGTCTTGTCAGATTTTTAAATACTTTGCTTCCAATCAATGTTGGTAATGTGATTCACCTCGTAGCTGGTCGGTTCGGTTCATAGCTTATAAAGTTTTAAACACTTTTCCAAAACCCTAGAAGCTATTTATTGGATCAAAATTCTATTCCTCTCTAAAAAGCATCACATCCCAGAAGTAAAATGGGTTGTAAACAGAGTTTCATGTACTTAAAAAGTACAAATTTTAAAAAGCAAAAATTTTTGTCATCGTTCACAAGTTCCAAACCAACGTCCCTATATGACAAAAAGTTGATATTCTGAATGTTTCAAATGTTTTTGATCAAACAAAGAAAGTCAGTAGGGTGTAAAACAACACTGGACCCCAACGATTTTCATTGCATTAAAATAAGATTGATACACTTTTAAAAAAAAAATCATCTTTGTGTTTCACAGAAATCAGTCAGTCATACAGGGTTGGAACTGTGAACTTTCCCTTGCAAATAAATAACTTGTCTTCTTGTACATATATGTTGTATCAAATATGTTCACAACTCACCACTTAACAACTCAATCCAGCTCTGGACTGTTTCTGGAGGCTGAGTCTCTTTAACATGTTTCAATGCCTCGTCTAGCAACATGTCTCCAGTGGGGGCATCAGATTTACAAATCACCTGAAGAACAAACAGGTTTAAAGAGTACAGATAAAGTGTAAAGAATGTTAAAAACAAGCCCCTAAAAGTCACACAAACCTTTCTGGTTAGCAGGCTTTTCCTCCTCATTCCAGATGCCTCCAGTTGCAGGCGTCCTCTTAAGGCAAGTTCAATAAACATACACCCTCTCAGTCCAGATGATATGCAATCATTCCAGAATGATGTGTAACCCTGAGCAAGAAAAATGTCCACCAATTATTATTCTAAGAATAACATCAGCAGACATCATATAAGATATACTGCTATTATCATTAGCGTGGATATGGAAGAAATGGCATGCTTGCATAATGTAACAGCTGACCAAAACTTAAAGCCATTTATGTTCCTGACTGCATTCATTTTGTGACATTTTGAAGTTATTGGTCTAACCTTTACAAGCTATGTTGTTTTGCAACTGTAATATTGAGGGACGTTACAAAGAGTTACAAAATGTACACCTATATAGCTCTAGAGACCTTCGCCTTTCAGCCATATTTTACTAAAAAAAAAAAACCCCACACGACTGGGACCCTCACAGAAGGCTAAATGGTGAAGCTCTCCAGGACCAGCTGCTCTTAAGACACTTACTCTCTGTCGTATTACAGGATTTATCTAATTTTCCAGTTACTAGCCGCTTCCTGGCGACCATTTGACTAACAAAGCCACAGAAGTCACGGCAAACCTCTCTATCCTTCAGTCCGAGCAGCAGCACCTCTTCCATCAAAGTCAGCCGCGTTTCTTTAGCGTCTCCCTTGTTGTCGTCGTCCTCTTCTCCGCGGCGGGACTCGTCCTCATCCTCTCCGGGGCTTTTCTCCTTATCCGCGGCGCTACGCGAGGCCTCGGTCCGTCTCTGCACCAGGCCCGAGTTTCTCTGCGTTAGGGAAGTCATTGTTTGCACAAACCTAAAAACACCACCGTGTTTAAGTCATTTAATTATACATCCGCCAGAGCCCGTAATGTCTGTATTCGCGCTGTTCCGCGCCCTTATAACTGTTTCATCAATATACTTTCTGTTGACGTGGATGTTTACATGCATCCGGGACGTCGGCCCTCTTCCACTCTTATTTCCGTATACAATATGGCAGACAGTGATGACGCAATGACGCATGTAATGTGACGTCAACGTGAACGTTTGCACGTATCCTATTTCTGTGGGTGACAAATTTAGATTTATAGAGTGGATAGATCTGCTTAAAATATAGAGTGATAGAAATAAAGAGATCTCTATGAAAATGTTTTCTCTGTGTTAGGTTCAAAGTTTACTCTTCTAGGAACATTCTTTTCGTAGCAAAAACAAACAAACAAAACAACAACAAAAAAACCTTCCCAGAACATTGCAGGGAGTTTTTTCATGAGAACCGAATGAAAATATATAACTTTCAAAATGTCCTCACAAAGGTGGCAATATCCAAATTCCTTGTCCTTGTGGGGACATTTTTTGGTTCCCATGAGGAAAACAGTTTATAAATCATACAAAATTAAGTTTTTTTGTTTTTTTTTGAAAATCTAAAATGCAGAAAGTTTTGTTTGAGCGGTGGGTTTATGGGTAGGGTTAGGGTAATGGGATAGAAAATACAGTTTGTACAGTATAAAAAACCATTACATCGATGCAATGTTTCCATACAACATGGAACTTGTGTGTGTGTGTGTGTGTGTAACAACCTACTGCATATTTATTTGATTTATTTGATTTTCACACATGTGATCAGATGTACGTCATAAATTCAACTTTATATCTGAAATTATATGTATATATAATGTGAAGAGCATAAATCTGTGAATTTGTCACTGAAAAAAAGTAAGGAAATGAGATCAAATTGAAAATGAGACGCAAAATCTCAAACAAACTAACAAACAATCAAATAGAGTAATCACAAGTAACTGGAAAGTTCATGTAAAACATCACTGGTCTGGGAAGCCTTGTGAAACATGTTTAATAAAGAAATTATCATCTATATTGGAAATACAAATATACACTCTAAAAAATGCTGGGTTAAATACAACCCAGTGCTGGGTAAAATAGGGACAAACCCAGCAATTGGGCTGTTTTGACCCAGAGGTTGGGTTAAATGTTTAACCCAACCTTCTGGGTAGTAACCCAACCGCTGGGTCAAAACAGCCCAATTGCTGGGTTTGTCCCTATTTTACCCAGCACTGGGTTGTATTTAACCCAGCATTTTTTAGAGTGTACTGCTTCCCAATATCATTGCAAGGAACAAATTCGTTGTAACACTTCAGTTTAAAGAATATCAGAAGTCAAATCATTCAGATTATCTTCAAAAGTAGCCTATAGGTTATGAGCTTTTGTGTTTCTGATGTGACTGAGAACCATTAGCCTATGTATAGCCAATATCTCATCAGTTTTCTTTAATGAATATTTATTCATATTTGGTTAGATAGATAACATATTTAAACTTTGAAATATATTCACCCTTACAGAAAAACCACATGAACTTCACATGTGCAATCACGTGTTAAAATCACACGTGAAATAAGTGAAACATATGAAACACACATGAAACGTAGTTTTGGAACATTTTCACACATATTGTTCACATGTGATCACGCATATTGTTCACATGTGATCACATGGGTTTCACACATTCACACCGTGAAAATGTTCCAAAACCACGTTTCATGTGTGTTTCATATGTTTCACATATTTCACATATGATTTTAACGTGGAGTTCATGTGGTTTTTCTGTAAGGGCATGCAAGCAATTATTCTCTATATTTTTGATAATTTATGCATAATACAACATGACCAGTCCAGTTTGTCACATTACAAATACACCTGCTGTGGGCGTGCCGAAGTGTTAGTGGGCGGGGATTCAGCGGGTAATGAGCTCCATTATTCTCAGTACTCGACTTCAACACTGAGCAGCTGATTGGCGCTCCATTCGTCACATCAAATAAATAAAGAGGAGTGAGTGAGACCAGTGGCCCTGTAGATAGGCTAGTTCAACACAACTTTCTTTCTCGTCAGTGTTTAATATCATTTAGAAGATAACGGCATTCTGATATGGGAGATCCCCAGAACAGTAAGTTATCATTGATCAAAAGTTCAGCTTACTTATTACTAGCATTAGATGAGATGCTTGAGAATCTAGTATTTTTGGCGTTGTCACTACAATAGCCTCGATCGATTAGAGACATAAATGATGTGTGTTCTTAAAGGAAGTAAGCTGGTGTCCTGCTGCGTGGGTTGTGGGCAGCAGATCCTGGATCGCTTCATTCTGCGGGTTTTTCCTGATCTGGAGTGGCACGCGCAGTGCCTGAAGTGCGCGGAGTGCCAGCAGTATCTGGATGAGTCCTGCACCTGCTTCATCAGAGACGGAAAAACCTTCTGTAAAGACCACCACAGGAGGTGCGTACCATTTTAAAAGGAAAGTCGATTTGCGCATCAGAATTACTTTATTTATTTATTAAACCTTCAATAATTCGTTAGTCTGATCACATGTTGTAGTTTTCTAGCTAAGTAAGTTACAACAAGTCGAATGGGATATAAAAAAAACTTTAAAAACGTATGCTGTTTAATAAGTGGTCCAAAAATTCTAAAATATTTCATTCAGCAACTTCTAATTTCATTGCATCACAGCATTAAACTCACTAGTATTAAAAAAATATTTCATTAACCAATATAATGTTAATATACTAACTTACTAAGGTACTTGTAACTTTATTATTATTATTATTTTTTTTTATTTTTATTTTTTTTGTCCCTGTGGCTCAGTGGTAGAGCATTGCGTTAGCAGCGCAAAAGGTCGTGGGTTCAATTCCCAGGGAACACAAAAAATGTATAGCCTGAATGCACTGTAAGTGGCTGTGTCTGCTAAATGCATAAATTATTAATTAATTATTATTTTTATTATTATAATACACTGAGAACAACCAAAATAACACAGGTAAAGAGGAAGCCACATGATGAATCAAAGCTTTTCTTGAGGTGAATACTTGGTGCACAGTGTCATGCACATGCACAAGAAACACTTCAATGAAAAACCATTAAATATTAGCCTTCACAGAGAATTCTGGGAATGTAAAATTACAGTTACAGTTGTTCTTTTTCACTCCCAAAAACTGTACATTTAACAGTATTTCACTGTCTAACTGTCCCATTAGATTTAGATTATAAGGTATCTTACTGTTTTTTTTTACCGTGGCAGTCTTTTACCATTATAATTGTGATTATTATAATTAATGATATTCCCATGTGCACTTTTAAAACATAGACAATGTATTGTTAAGTGTGATTTTATAGGATAAATTCTTCCAGTCAGAAATGTAATGTTTGTAATCTTTTCTCCTCTATATTCTCTGTCAGATTATGGACCAGTAAATGTGCAAAATGCCACAAAGCCTTCATCAGCAAGGAGTATGTAATGCAAACACGAGTGAATATTTATCACGTCCAGTGTTTTCATTGCGAGGGCTGCAATCGCCAGTTACTCCCTGGAGATGAGTATGTTCTGCGGGACGGACAACTGCTCTGTACAGACCACCATGAGCTTTTTAACAAATTCATGGGTACTTCAGATAACCAACAGAAGGAGACTGTTGATCCATCCGGTAAGTTTATGAACAAGCTTCCATTGAACACTAATGTTGAATCGCTGTTGAATTTTGTTTTGATTTTGCAAATTGATATTTTGATGTTGTTTCAATGTTTTATTTTTCAGCATGGGGGATTTAAAATGTCAATGTTCATTTATAAGTTTTTCATTAACATTTAATAAAATGTTTCAATGTTTTTTCAGTGTTGAAAGATCAACTGACATTATTTCAGCCTCATTTTTGCTGTGTGTAAATGAGCGAAAAGTTATTTTTGAGGTAAAACCTCTCATATCTGACAGAGGGCATCAAATCCTCACCGTCCTGGTCGTCGATGCCGAGGAGGTCAGAGAGATCCACGCGTGTGAGGACGGTGCTCAGTGAGTCCCAGCTCCACATGCTGCAGACCTGTTACAGCGCTAATCCCAGACCGGACGCTCTCATGAAAGAGCAGCTGGTGGAAATGACAGGTCTCAGTCCTCGGGTCATCCGCGTCTGGTTCCAGAACAAGCGATGCAAAGATAAGAAGAGAGGTCTGATGATGAGAAGTACACAGCAGCAGCTTGAAGGCTGTCTGGTGAGTGAGCAGTTACTTACCCATAGTAACATTTACTTCCCTGTAACTTTAACACTTAACGTTTTTTATTTCAAAGCAATTACATTCTATCACCATGCATTTCCTAATATTAATCATCTTCCATGGCAAAGTTGCTTATGTGTCTAGAAGTTTTCTTAGTGGTGCATGAGCTGATGTATGGCTCGTTAAAATACTTTTTTTTTGTCCAAAGTTCAAAAGGTCTGAATCTTTCCAGACTGACTTTTAAAAAATGAACATTAAAATATGATCTGTAGATAAATGTATACAGCCAGTCAGTCAGTTTAGAATAATTAATATTTTTTATGCTTTTGAAAGAAGTCTCTTCTGCTCACCAAGGCTGCATTTATTTGCTCAAAAATACAGTAAAAATAGTAATATTGTGAAATATTATTACAATTTAAATAACTGTTTTCTATCTGAATATATTAGAAAATTTAAGTTATTCCTGTGATGATCAAAAGTTATTGTAATGACATTTATAACATTACAACAGATTTTTGTTTCAAATAATTGTTCTTTTGAACTTTCTATTCATCAAATAATCCTGAAAAATAAAATGCATCACGGTTTCCTGTTTTCAACATTGATAATAATCTAACATGTTTCTTGAGCATCAAATCAGCATATTAGAATGATTTCTGAAGGATCATGTGACACTGAAGACTGGAGTAATGAAGCTGAAAATTCAGCTTTGCATCACAGGAATAAAATACATTTTAAAATATATTAAAATAGAAAGCAATTATTTTACATTGTAATAATATTTCACAATATTACTGTTTTTACTGTATTTTTGATAAAAGCATAAGAGAACATAAGAGACTTGTTTTAAAAACATAAAAAAATCGTAATCCTTCCAAACTTTTAACAAATTTGGATGCATTTTTATTTTGTATTTTACTGGAAACAAAAGAGATCCTGGAACAGAGAGCTCCTGTAAATATGATCTAGCAGCGTCTATGGCTCGGACAGTTTGC